AGAATCACACACCATGTGGCCTTTTGTGTCTGGCTTCCTGCAGTCAGCATCATGGTTTTGAGGTTCATCAGAGTCATTGCACGTATCAGCGCTTTATTCCTTTTCTGGGCTGACTAGTATTCCACTGTGTGGGTGGACCACATCTGGTTTACCTGTTCCCCTGTTAGTGGNAGGTGACACTGCGGTGAGTGGTGGAGCTGTGATTCATTCAGTCGTGGGCCACATGGATGCTGAGTGCCAGTTCGTAATCGTCAGGAGCAAATGAGCTTTTGTGTCCCCAGCTGTCCCCTGTGGTTGGACATTAGGGTCGTCTCCACTTTTATTGCCATCACCAGTGATGCCAAATCTCTGGCATAACCCATGAGGATGGCCTTTGGGTCACTTCCGAGAAGTAGGAGAGTGGGGTTGGGGACTGGAGGGTGTGGGTGACACTGAGCTGCTGAGGCCTGACTTTCTCTTCCTCTGGGGCCAGTGGTTGCTTCTTGGGGAAGGGAGCAGTTGAGTCTTGAAGGCAGTAATGCTGGGACAAGTGTCCATGGGTCACCGGCCTTCTGTGAGCTCCTTCCGCCTGTGCCCTGACCTGGGCGTGATGGTGCCTGCTCCCTTCCCCTGTATAGAGGGGGTGTGGGGGCTGGGGGTGCTGATAGCGGGCCTGGCTCACCATGGGGGTCGAATGCAGTAATGTCACCTGACAGTGCCTGCGGTGGGTTTCCATCTTCACACCAGGTCCGAGCTGCCCTCTGTATCTTCTTTCTTTATTTCTTTGATTTATTCTTTTTTTAGTGGCTGGCGGTAAGGGGATCCGAACCCTTGACTCTGGTGTGCTCTGTACCCTTATTACTCAACATCCATCTGTGTTGCTCCTGTGTGCTGGCTTCGTGCCGGTTCCTGGGGACACAGCGAGGACCAGGACACGCCTCCCTCATCTCCCAGAAAAGGTGGCTGTGACCGAAACACCAGCAAACCTGAGTGGGGAAGTAGCAGAAGGCGGCCCATGCTGCAAAGAAGATGTAGAAAGACAGATTGGTAGGGTATCTGTTCCCAGGGTCCCCTAAGAAAGTGCCACATGTTCGGTGGCGTAAAACAATGGAAATTCCCCATACCAGCCAGCAACCCCCAAAAAAATTTAAAAAAAAAAACAAAAAAAAAACCAATGACGGAAATTTGTTATCTCACCATTTTGGAGGCAGGGCCGCGCTCCCTCCAGAGGCCCTGGGGGAGCACCCTCCCTGCCTCCTCCAGCTTCTGGGGGCTCCAGGAGATCCTTGGCTTGTGGCCGCATCGCTCCAGTCTCTATTTCTGTGGTCACGTGGCCATCTCTCTGTCTCTTCTTATAAGGACACCAGTCACTGGGTTTAGGGACCACTCTAATCCAGTAGGACGTCATATTCACTTATTCTTAATTACACCTGCAAAGACCCTATTTCCAAATAAGGCCACATTCCCAGGATACCAGGGGTTAGGGCTTCCTCATCTTTTTGGGGAGCCACCATTCAACCCACAACAGATGGCAAAAGCAGGTTGGGGTGACGAGCGAGCGGGATCAGGGGGCCTCTCTGAGGAGGGGACCCAAGCAGAGACCTGAAGGGGTGCAGGAGCCAGCCTGGGGGGCTGGGGGACGGTGTCTAAAGCAAAGGGAACAGAGCAGGGAATACGCTTGGGGTGTTAAAGGAACAGAGTGAGCGGGGGCTGATGCTGAGGTGGGGAGTGGGCATTATCCAGTTACGCAGGCCAAGGTCGGCGTTTTGCTTTTACTAGGGAGATAATAGGGAGCCATGGAGGGTAGGTGAGCAGGGGAGGGCCGTGTTCTGATTTATGATTTTCAGAAGCCCCTGTGGCTGCTGTGGGGGACTGTCAGCACCAGGAAGCCCGGGTGGAGGCCCAGGCAGCATCCTGGTGATTCATGGTGGGGCCTGCACAGGGCAGGGCCGTGAAAGGCAGGTGGGTTTAGGATGCGTCATGAGGTCGAGGGGACAGGGCCTGCTTTGGGCCTGGATGTGAGCATGCCAGAAGGACAGGAGTGGGGATGATGCCACGTCCCTGGTCTGAGCCCCTGGGAAGAGCAGAACCACCTCCTGGGAGGAGGAAGGATGGAACAGGCCCCCCGTGAGATCCCAGAGGTCGGTGCCTCTTCAGACCACTTTACAAATGAGGACACAGAGACTTAGGGAGAGGCGGCAACTTGCCCGGTGGGGTCTCAGAACCAGCGAGGCACAGAGCTGAACCCTGCACCTTCTGGAACCTTCCGGCCCAGAGCCCCCTTGTCCTGCCTCCCTGGTTTGCTGCTGTGGGTTGATCTTGGCTGGTTTTCATTTTTTCCCTCCACAACCCTGGGTGGGGCTCAAGGTGTCATGCAGAACTCAAAGCAGCTTTTGACGCAAAACTGTATTTTTGTAATTTGGGGACTTTGGAAATCCATACTGGAATGTGAAACCATTTGTCAGATGTTGTTATTAGAAGGGCCTTTTTTCCCCCTCTGTTTTCACAAAAGTTATGGATTTTATTTATAGGCAAAAAATGTAAAAAAATAAAATAAAATCCTTAAGAAAGAAAAAACAAAACAAAACAAACTTTAATCTTACCTCCCAGAAAGATCCACTTTCTAGTTGTTTTTTGTTTTAATTGACGTACAAGTCATGTAACATAAAAGTGACCATTTTTTTTTTTTTGTCTTTTTTCCGTGTCCGGCAACGGATCGCAACCCTCAGTGTTGCC